AGAAGATCTTGCAAGAAAAAACCTAAGATTCATGCATGATCTTGAAGAGAAATCATGCAAGATCTTGCTAGGATTTTTTACTAGGGTATACCTCTTGATAGTAGGGAGAGCCTATAAGCAATAATAATTACCAGTATTAATCTATTAAAACAATCAGCACTTGCTTCAAAGCGATCCATATAAGCCTACATATAGAACAATGACTAGCAAATTAAAACAGATTTGACCCACTTTAAGATTGTCAAGACCATCAAATAACTGAGGATGGAACTCTCTGTGTTGATCAAATATTTCATAAAAATGGAAGTCGGGAAAAGTGATCTATATTGTATTCATTTATACATTATGTTATTACTTACTAGTATTAATAATATTCTGCCTCATTTCCGGCAAACCAAAGTTTATTCCCCAAATACTTGAATATTTCCTCAAGCTTAGCCCGAGCAGTTGTTAAATATCCTTCTTTCTTTGATTCCTAAAAATATTCAGTTATATGAATGGCCTAAAAACTGCAATGCTGATACTAAAGCCTATTGTTAGGATAAAGAATGGCCACTTACAATTTGTGAACCATAACATTAACAAAGTCCAACAAATTTATTTCTGAAGTCCATAACCTATAAGTAGACAACAAATCATAGTAACTGTAATAGACTATAGCCTATGATAGATTATGGCAGAATTTATTTTGGTGATTCGAATTAAAAATTTTGAATATTAATTCATCTTTTAAGATGGGCATGCTTTTTGCCAAACTAATAAATAATTATGGGACATTACAGTACCACCAATATACAATATAGCTTAGATTGATTTACTACATTTATAAACATGTCAAGAGTAGCCATTTCAGCATTTGTTTTACCACCTATTGTTTGAAATCAAAACAAACTAATGAATAGTTTAACTAGGAGTAGGACGAAAAAAGTTACATTATAGTTATAATTACAAAAAAACAACTTGTAGACTAAGTAACCCACACAGATTGTATTTGCAACCAAGATATGCTAGTATCTATAATAATTAAAAATATCATTATTGTACCATTTGCAATATTGGTAGTCTCGCCCCGCCCCTTTGCTACCTGCAAGGGGCGGGGCGAGACTAAAATATTGGCAATTAATTTTAGTCAACCAATAGATAATATTGCTATCAACTAGTATTTGTCCATGCATAAATGGCAAATCCAATAATTTGTCAAAAATGGCATAAAAATTTATACTAATGCAAGTCTGATCATCACAGGTCGTGAAATAATTCCTTACTGCATTGCTTTGTGTTATTTTTATATCTCTGTCAATCAAATATGGTATCTAGATTATAGGTTATGTTAAATTATAATACTATAGTATACTTAATGCAGCTCACATTCGGAAAAGGCAATCCTAATGTATGCTTTACTGAAGTCCACTCTTCTGTTGAAAAACTAGGAGCTAAATGAATATCATTTAAAATAATTTGTCATCAATCTTGTACCTTCAGCTCTTGTGTAAGTAATATTCTCAAACTCAGTACCAGTGTATTTGAGCAGAAGACGAATTGACTGAGCCAACTGTAAAGCAGTACATTAGCTAATATACTTTCATAGATTTCTTACTCCTCTAGTCATCCAGTATCCCAATTTGATAAGCTCCTTCTCAGCTGCCATGTTTGAAATTTTTAAAATCCACCCCCTTTGTAAATCTAGTTAGGACTATAGACTAATAACAAAGTTAAAATAATAAGCCATACTTTCAAGTACATGTGTATTGATATTAAAGATAGTTTTACAAATAGGCATGACAAAAAGCTGTCGGAACAATATTAATTTTATGCTCTCTTGTACAATCTTTTAATGCTTAGCCAGTATTGTAAAAACTATCAGTATAAGGAAACGCATTGTTATGAAACTTTCTAATTATATCTAACACAGTCCAATGATTACCATCAGAGATACACGGAAAAAGAAGATGAACATAAGAGTTGCTAAACAGACATGATACTTAAAAAGATTAGTTATTTGTGCTGCATGAGACATGCTTTTTTGAGTGTAAATAAGGAACTTATTTTACATAAACTGTCATTTTAAATCACAAAGTTTACAATATCCACAAATGGAACTTTTTAGGAATAGGTATGCAGTATTATGAAAAATAACAATAAAGTTTATCAAATAATTTTGCTATTGTTCATTTTCATTGTTTTGTTTGACGGAACTAATTAATACAATACTCACAGAGTCTGCATGTACATGTAGTCTATAAATAACTTTACTTTTGCTATGCTTATCAAAACGATGGTGCTATCAAAGGCTAAGATGTATGTGGCTCATATAACTTCTTTTCCTGCAATTATGGTGCTTGTCTGGAATCATTTGATGTTCATTCAATTTTATTTGATCTTATATGCCAGTATCTATGAGGTTTTTGAAGGACTTCCAAGTTTTGCAAAACCTATTCCCTTTGTTAGCTATATTTTGTATCCCTTCATTGGATTATTATGTGATGTATACATAGGAAGATATAGAGCAATAATGATTGGTATCATATTCTGTTTCATATCATGGATCATGATTGGAATTTCATTCATATTAAACTATTGCTATAATGGGTTTATGGGGAAGATGTGGATTTTGCCTGGTTATGTAGTAAATAGTATTGCTACAACAATTTTTCAAGCTAACGCGATTCAATACAATATTGATCAAATAATTGGAGCATCAACTAATGAGTTGAGTACTATAATATACTGGAGTGTTGCTGCTTATTCAACTTCATGGATTGTATGTAACTTCTTGATATTCCTTGATTCTGTAAATACAAAGCTTATTATCATTATTATAACATCAGGAGTAGCACTGTCTCTTATACTGGTATCTCATTCATTATTTAAACACAAACTGGAGAATATATCACTGATCAAGAATCCAGTCAAACTGATAGTTAGAGTATTGTGTTATGCCAGGAAGCACAAGTATCCTGAGAATCGTAGTGCTCTGACCTACTGGGAGGAAGAGGCTCCTTCAAGGCTAGACCTGGGTAAGGAAAAATATGGTGGACCATTCACAGAGGAAGAGGTAGAAGATGTGAAGACAATTTTTCGCATGCTGCCCCTATATATTGCTGTCATTGCATATACCACCTTTCATTGGCTCTCTCGTGGTAATTGCATCAATAAATCACCAGTGCATTGTATGCTGTTTGAACATTATGATACATATGATATCACAGTCCTACTTCTATTCTTCATTTATCAGTTCATCATTCGTGTTTGTTTCCACAAGTATATACCCAGTATGCTTACTAGAATGGGCATCGGCCTTCTTGTTGTATTACTTGGCTGCATAACTAAAATATTGGTACAGGTTTTTTTATATGATTCTCTACTAATACTTCAACAAGTACTTCTTGGGATATCGTATATTCTTACTCTTCCTACAGCATATGAGTTTACAGTAGCACAGTCTCCAGAACACATGAGAGGAATGATGGTTGGACTCTGCTACTCTTCACTGGGTATTGGTACTATTCTTTCAAGAACATTTTTGAATTTCATTACAACATGGTACGATCATGCAATGGTGTGTGTCCTCCAGTTATTTGTGCTGATAATGTTTGCAATACTGGCTAGACGTTACAAGTATCGTGTGAGAGAGAATGAAGTTAATATTGTTCAGATAGTTGATGATCATTATCAGAGATACATGGAACAAGAAGATGAACATGAAAGGCAGCAAGAGATCCTTGAGAATGAATTAATATTTGAAGACTAATATTTATACATGTAGTGAACATATAAAGTGTCTATTAGGAGAAGCTATACTTTACTTGTACATGTACATTAACACATACAAATCAGTTACCATCAACATTATGAACTTGAAATAAGACCTAAAAGTTTATATCCAATTGCATTACTGATTGATCCAATTACCATCTTTATCAAATAGTGAAAAGAAACGAGTTGCAAAAAAATTAAAACTAGAGAATACAATAATAATAAAAATAAAAATAATAATATTAAAGTAAACTACACTTTGATACAGCTTTAAATTTCATGGAGAATTCTCTCCTAGTCAATTTTTGTGAAACAGAAATACTTTGTACTACAGTGTCCTTGGCCTGGTTTTTGAGTGACCTTAAAATTCATAAAAAATCTAATTTTGATTAGAATCAGCTCAAACTTGCTAAGCAAATAAATATGCACATGTATCAAAAAATTAAAAAATTCTTTCCTCTTTGTTTTTGACCAACAACTCTAAACAGGGATTTTAACCAAATTTTGAACAGCTTAAGTAATTTATTATTTTGCATGTGTAATGTGTATCAGAAAATGCAGTTACTTGTGATGAGTTAAGTGCCTCTCTAAAACCTTCAAAGTCCATCTTTCAATTATCTCTAGCACTAAAAACAAACTCTCAAACCACAGGAAGTAGCATCTTTATTGTCATTATAAAAATAAACTTATTATTTATTACCTATTATTATTATAATTACTATCACTATAGTGTTGTATCAATGCTAGTGATTGAATTATTTGTTACTGATGATCAAATAATGTTCACTTAAGACAACAAAAGAATCCAATTAGTAACGTACAGTGTAACACTATACTTATATCATGTACAAGCACAAACACATACGTATTAAAACATGCATGTTCAAGTAAATTACTGTGTATACATGTATGTAAATATATCATGTACATATGTATGTGTACAAGTACATAAGCATACGTGTATAGAGTATGGGGTACATTACATGAATGTGCACAATACTAATGTAAATACATGTATGTACAAGTTTGTAAATATAACATGGACCACATGTACAAATACACTATAAGTACATGTGCATGTATATAATTAGGCTATAAATATTGTTCTAGTACTGCATCTGCTTAGTAGAGCTGTGTAGATTTGAGAAGAGATTTGTTGTTATAGTTACAACAGCTACAACTGCTACAACTGCTACAACTTGCAAGCAGAAAAATCTTTCAAAAAGACACCACTGAGGTCCAACAGCAAAATTTATAGCATGCAAATAAAAAAATTGTAATTTTATACAGTTGAACTAACAATTAGGGTCAAAACTAGAGATAACTGCCAGACAGATCTAAAGAAAATAGAAATTTTGGCTTATAAAGCAGATTTTATTGAAAACAAAGCTGGGGGCTATACTAGATCAATATAAGATAATATCTTGTGCTATATCATTTACCATTTTGATATTGCATCTGAGAGCTCTTGATTTCTTGACTCTGAATCTTGTAGTCTCTAGAATTAATGTGACATATGAACAAGAAACAATGTAGACTATGCACATGTACATGTAAGTATACATAATCCAACGAAATTATTTACACATAGCACACATTGTGTTTGCATGCTCACTTGATGTAAGTCGGATACCTCTTGTCTCAGCTGCTCTTGCTCTCCAAGTCACCTGCTGTTAATTCCTGCCCAGGGTCATTCTTAACTCATACACCTAAACATATACAAACCATAAAATACATATACATATCATAAAACACATAATGATGACCAAGCACAAACATTATACACAAATACATGTGTCACTAGTATATCCCACTGCTAACATTGACATAAAATATGTCATTGATAACTGTAAATCACATACATGTACATGTACATCATAGGCCCATACTTGCATAAGAAGAGCATCCTTGTCTTTCTCTAATTGCAGTTGTTGCTCTTCCAATTCTCTCTTTAACTCATCCCTTGTGTTCTGCTGCCTGTCATCACACAATATTTGATTACTTTATATTATTCTTTCAATGCATCAAGTATGCAAAGAACTTTGTTAAATGAGCCATAGTTCAGGCAAATATAAGGTACAAATGTACTAACAGATAGGTCTCACAAACTTGCTAGACTACAAATTAAGTGTTATGTTAGCAGTTGTCTGTACTATAAAGGAGTCACGCTATAGTCCAACTGGTTACTAATTTACATGTTTGATTATAGACTGTGGCCCCCCACCCAACATAATTATTTTCATAATTACAAATAATCATCAATTAATAATAACAAAATAATAATTAATGTGATTGTCCAAGTCCTATCAGTTTTAATTAGAATGGCTCAGGTGTGAATCATTATAAATCCCTTTCTTTTCCTCTTACTACTGCTGCTTGTCTCTTTCATTGCTCTTTTAAGAAACTTCTTTGCAAAGTCACTAGGTATGGCAAAAGACATACCAAGAGTATATTCACAACTATGATCTTCCATTACGTTGACACCTATGACCTCTCCATCCAAATTGACAAATACACTACCATGAAAGTATGTGGGTATCGCAGCATTTGTTAGTACATATTCCTGATCTATAATATGAGCACGTACATCCATAACTATACCTGGACTAAAAGCAATTTGTGCAAAAGGTAATCCAAAGGCTATTACCCATTCTCCTGGTCTTAAACGAGAAGCAAACTCTAGTGATGGTAGTGGCTTGGATCCTTTAGGTAAGTGTAATTTTACAAGTGCCAGATCAGCAGCTCGATCAGTAGCAGTAACTGTACCAGTTAGTGTCCGATCATTATGAAGTCTTACAGTTACAGATTGATCGGAGCATACAGCAAGGCCATGAGCAGCCCATGGGACTATAAATAGTACGTACTGTCCACCATTAACAATAAAACCCGGGGAATCCCTGGAAAAAAAATCTAATTCATCCTGCTTAGCAACTGTTTGTATATCTACTGAGCAGATACAGGGAGATACCTTCTCTACAGTATCTGCTATAAAATTATATTTATCTGAGCTTCGCTGCCTACCGGGTTGCTCCTCTATCGTCTGATTTTGAAGCTTTACAGCCTGCAGTTTGAAATACCTCTCTTCTCCTAACGTCCTCACTATCTTTTAAGTGACTGCACAGACGGAAACTACCCGACAGCCCAAACTTGTATGACCTGGCTTCTTCCTTGTCCGAGACTACCCGACAATGTCTTATGTCAGATACACCAGTGGATATGGCCAACCTTTCCTTTCTTGTGCAGGCAGCTGAACTCACAGCTCTCTGAATAAGTACATCTCTAGGAATACTTCTTCTCATCAGAAATGCCATAGCTCTCACAGTGCATGTGGCCATTCCCGTAATTTTATTATACTGCATATGTCCACGTGGCCCAAGGCGTGGCTCAGCCTATTACTACACACTCAGTTTCAAAAGGTTTCTATAACCAGACACCATACTTTTTTGCATAGGTAAACAGTGGTCCTAAAGGACTATGCATTCTGTCGCTGTTATGCGCATTAAACTTTACTATGGTCTTTT